GATCTGGACCAGAGGAAAAGGAAAGTTTGATTGTTCTAAGATTATGAAGAACATCATCTACGCTGATTACAGGCATAAAAATGCAATTGGAATGCGGGAGTGGAAAAGAATACTCTGAGTTATTATCGAAATTAGTTTGTGAGTATGTAGTCTGGAAGAACTTTGCGAACAGGTTCGCGATATCAGGCTCATTGGAAGCGGAGGCATTATCGAAATGAAGACATGAAGGAAATTGTTGAGATTTCCGTTTCGAGTTTACAAAAGCGTAAAATTGCTTCGGGTTAGCCTGAAACTCAATTTTGCACCGATTTAAGTGGTTTCTGTAGCATTCAGAATTGTGTGCTAGGAAATTTGTCTCGAATGGTCGACTTGAAGACCAGATTTGCTATACTTTTTAAACAGTCTGGATTTCAGATTTTTTAGATATGAAAGCCGACGAGAAAACCAGGCTCAGCTTCCGGACACAATAATAATGGTGTGGAGGCTTCGAGGGTTAGCTCCAAAGTGGGATGATAAGCGTCCTCAGGACTAGAAAGAGGGTCAATTCTAGTGACGTAGGCATTGGCAAACTCAGAGACAAAGATGAGGTCTAAGACGTTATTACTGCAGTTCCTAACAAAATTTAATTGTCCCAATGAATGGTCAATGAAACCATGAATTAAATCGTGGGGTGAGGTGGGAACAAGAACATTTGAATCAGGTAAGGGCATCCAGGAAATGGAGGGTAGATTAAAATCACCCGTGACGATAAGGTGGTCATTAATACCAAGGGAAGAATGAATTTCTTGAATTAAGGATAAATGCTGCATATAAATATCAGTGTCAGACCTAGGTGGAATATACGAGCATGAAACGTAGATAGAATAATCGTAAACCTGGATGCGAACCGCCACAAACTCTATATCAGTGTCAGTTTTAGAAATGATATTGGAAACCAGATCGGATTTAACCGCAATGAGAACACCACCGCCTGTCCGTATAGGACGATCACGTCTAAAGATGGCATAGTTCCCTGAAAAAATCTCTGAGTCAGACACAGAGGAGTTGAGCCATGTTTCTGTAAAGACAATAACATTGGCATCGAAAGAGACACTATTGACGTGCAGCCTACTGAGCTTGCCAAGTAAACTACGAACATTCTGATAGTGAAGAACAAAAGAGTCTATTAGTTTTTTGGAGGCCTAGTTGAGGGAGTTTGAGGCCCGCGAGCACGAGGAGTACTTTTGTGTTCGAATTCATGAACAATTGCATGCTTAGGCCACACAGAAGGATCAAGAGCCTTAGAAAATAGTTGGTCAGAAATTGTAATTTTAAACGAAGATATATCACGTCTTTCCTTAAAATTGAATTTGGAGACACTAAATTCAGTAACAGAAACATTTAATTTGCTGCTCAAGTGGGTCTTAACGTCGCCCTCAGAAGCATCTGGATTGAGGCGGGAAACAAAAATCTGTTTTTTCGGAGCAACACCAGCCAAAGGCACCGGTCCGCGTTTGGCAACGCCAGAAATTGTCGACTGTTGGGGGCCGCTTCTGGTAACGGCCGGCACCGAGATAGTGACCACCGGGGGAGCCACTGGGTTGGGATTTGACACCACCGACGCGTCGTTGATGGCAGCAGCACGCGACGTGGTTGCCTGATCGGTGTAGACAGGCTGCTGAACCGGGAGCATGGTGGCTTCGCCCCCTCCGAGAATGGGGACTGGTGCAGCAACTTCAGCAGAGGCAGCAGCGTGCAACGTGGACGCCTGGACAACGTTGACAGGCTGCTGATCCAACGGCCTGACAAGATCTTCAACCATAGAAGTTGTGATCGATGATGCATCATCACCAGAGCCGTTATCCACGGCTGCAGGCTTGGCACGTGGGGTGAACTGCATAAGGGGGCATTCAGGGTCTGGAAGAGATAAGAACTTTTCAGACAGGTTGTTCTTGTTTTTGTTTGCGGGGTGACTTAGCAGTTAAAGCGACTTGAAATGGTGTTCCGCCTTCTGGAAGCGAGTTGACAACTCCTTAAAGCCGGCCGCCAACGACTGAAACTCCAGGTGAGTCTGCCTCATGAAGACCCGCATATCGGATTTGATATGCAGGCAGCTCGGGCACGTCCAGTCCAATCCAGGATTTTCGCGAATGCGGTCGGTGATACGCGATCCATTTTGCCCCAGATCGGCGCATCCAATGTGAGCGATATTATCACAGAGCCAGCAGTAGACAGTGACATGCCGCGAAGAAATTTTTTGGCCGTTCGGGCACTTAGGGAAACAACACGTAGCCATTATTGGAATAAAAAATACTTTATCCAAGTAAATTACGAATTGGATTAATTTATTTGCCCCCTCCTAAGATCAGACTTGGGGATTCAAATCCCGAAGGATGATCACCCTCAAGCTTGTAGTTCCTTGAGCCTACTGTTTCCGGTCTTTCCTTGTAAATCTTCCAACTCATAGCAAGAATTCCCTAATTTCTTTCGGACTCTGGCTTTGAATACGTTGGTCCCAATTTCGAGCTATATCCTGTTGGAAAACTACTCTGTCTGAATTTTTTCGGTATACTTCTTGCCCTTCGCTGTATGCAACCTCTCTTGTCCTCAAATTGTATTGACGCTCATTTTTGGCATTTTGCTTGCTTAGGACTTCTTGAGCCTTCTTTCTGACCACCTCCAGAGAATCTTCTCGCGTAAGCATCGCGGATCTGTCCTCCAGACATCTGTAACGAATCTCTCCGGCCGGGATAGATCCCAGTCGTGACCAGGGATCCTCTTCAAGAAATTTATTTAGAGGGGACGGAAATATTTATAGGAATTTATTATAACAGCGTGTGGGACCCGGGTTGCGAATTTACGCGCACTAAATTCTGATTACCGAGGGTTGGCAACGTGGCTGCCGGACGCTATGGTCACTGGGTGCTCTAGAAGCAGGCGGGGCACACGCGCTGCTTGTTAATGGCCGGTCGCCACGCTGCTTTTACCGACTCGTCGATCTGCTTGATCGGTCGGTCCCTGACAGAAAGCTGCTCGTCGCGAACTGCTTTAGACACTGCTTGCGCCCACTGCTTGTTTGTACTGCTTTCGCCGGTGCGCGGAGTGGCAACTCCGGTGGGCTCCTGGCGGGATTTGGTTGATCTCGCCCAGAATTAGGGCGACGTGGGTCGAGGGAATGGCCAGGGCGTCAGAGAGTGTTAGTCAACTCCGGTTAGGCGCGGAGGCTGGCTACGGGTCGGGCAGGCAGAGGTTCTGGCGTCACCGTGGTGATGCACGGCGTGGGGAATGGCCAATGCAGGCGGGGCGGCAGCGTGTGTCGAAGTGTCCCTAATCTAGGAGTGGCCACGGGCGCGGATGCCCTCGTAGTCGTGGCGGTACACGGTACGCGGGAAACCAGCGTTAGTGTGGCGCGGCGGCTACGGGCACAAGAAGGGGGTCCCTAGTGGGGCGAAGGCGGAGGAGCACGTGTCCTCCAGTCGCGGCGGCACGTTGAGCACGGAAGGAGCCTGTGCTGGCGTGGCGCTGCGGGTGCAGGTATGACCGAGGGTCCTAAACTGTGCGTGGACGGAGGAGTATCTGTACTCCAGTCGCGGCGGCGCGCTGTGCACGGAAGAGCCGGTGCTGGCGTGACGCTACGACTGCAGTTGCGGCAGAGGATTCCTAAGCTGGGCGTGGGTGGAGGAGCAGGTGATCTCCAGTCGCGGCGGCACGCTGGGCACGGAAAGAGCCTGTGCTGGCGTGACGCTGCGGCGGGGAACACGGGAGAGGATTCCTAACGGCGTGGGGCAAAGGAGCAGATGGCCTCCAGTCGCGGCGGCACGCTGGGCACGGAAAGAGCCTGTGCTGGCGTGACGCTGCGGCGGGGAGCACGTGAGAGGATTCCTAGCGGCGCGGGGCAGAGGAGCAGGTGGCCTCCAGTCGCGGCGGCACGCTGGGCACGGAAAGAGCCTGTGCTGGCGTGACTCTGCGGCGGGGAGCACGGGAGAGGGTTCCCTAGCGGCGCGGGGCAGAGGAGCAGGTGATCTCCAGTCGCGGCGGCACGCTGGGCACGGAAAGAGCCTGTGCTGGCGTGACGCTGCGGCGGGGAACACGGGAGAGGATTCCTAACGGCGTGGGGCAGAGGAGTAGGTGTCCTCCAGTCGGGGCGGCACGTTATGCACGGAATGGACCTGCGCTGGCGTGACGCTGCGGCTGTGGACGCGGGAGAGGATCGATGGGAGGCTGGATGGCCGTAAAACACGTGCGAATGGAAATGCCGAAACGCAGTGTTTTGGGGCCGCCAGCGGGACAGAGATCGGGGAACCTGAAAACCGTGACCAATACTACCAAGGAAATACTACTACGGGTAGGTTCAATTGTTAGTTTATTGGTTATTGGGTTATCTAAGTGTGTAGCCTACTACTGCCTTACAGAATTGACTCCTGTAACTTACGAAACTAGCCCACGTGTCAGCGGGCGTGGGGGCTGTCGATCGCGGTGGTTTTCTTGTCACTGTGTTGGTTTGTTTCTCGTCGTTGATGTCGCGGTGCGGGCGTGTTCGTCGCGGGATGGGACGACGACGCGATATACTTTGATTGTTTGACTCGGTCGCGGAGGCGCGGCGATGGGCACGTCTGCCTCGGTGCAAAGTTTTCGACGGAAGAGAGCGAATCCCCGGAAGACGCGAGCTGTCATAACTTTTGAGTGAACCGGTGGTTCGAACCGGTTCACCGAGAACGGATCTGGTTCGACTAGTTCGACTAGTCGATAATGTGCCCGATTTAGCGACCTCTGAGGTGCTGAACTTAGCTTATTCGTTAGCTTAATTATCCCTATTTAAATATACTCCACGATTGTCTTGATTACGGCTCCAATGCCAACTAAAGAAGTTTTAATAATAATGTATTGGCTTCAGTGCCGACTTACTCTCTAAACTTAAACTATGGCTATAATATGGGGGGAATAGTTATATGCTTAGTATCTAGGGCTTATTTCGTATAGGAGGTTGTGCGCCTGTAGAATAGAGGCGTCACACTCCCTTCTTACTCCGCCCGGCCGAAACGGATCTGGACTTCTCCTGTCGTTTTCATGGTGATTTGGTATGGTCCTTCCTGCGTGCGGACGCGGAAGCGCTGACGGGAGTACTGTGCGGCATGGCTCCGGCGCGCTATCTCCTGCCAAACCGCCAGTGGAACTCGCTGGTCGTGCGTGTTAGTCCACCAGGCGGCTGGTATGGCGACTCGCTCGGGCGCTGGGTCGTCGGTGGTGAAATCATCCGCCGGAGGGGCTCGACGAGCAAAGCGTGGCGCCGAAGGTGGAACCTCGTCGGCGGTGGTGGCCGCAGGAACTGGGCGCGGGAAGCGCGGTGCCGGAGGTGGGACCTCGTCGGCGGTGGTGGCCGCAGGGACTGGGCGCGGGAAGCGCGGTGCCGGAGGTGGGACCTCGTCGGCGGTGGTGGCCGCAGGAACTGGTGCTGTCGAAGGTGCGCTCGGGTCCCAATCTGGGATTAACTCCTGTAGCAGACCCTCTACTCCCGGCTCGAGCTCCTCCATGAGTATATCCATCGTGCCCGGAGAGAGATCGAACCCGCGACCTCCGAAGCCGACACGTGGGGTGGCTGGGGGAGTGACCTCCTCGTGGGTAGTGGAGCGGCTATGGTTTGCTGCCCGGCGGTTGATCTCGGCAGCGTTGGGCGGCGCGTTCCTTGCGGTGGCTATCCCGCGGCGGTGAGCCGAGGATCGCTGGTCTGGCATAGCAGTGTTCGGCGGTGGCCGTGGTTGCGCCTCCTTGCGGCGGAATTTTTGCCCCGTCTCCGTCTCGCTATCGCTGCTCTCAGATTCCCACTGCATCGCCTTCCCGGTGGGCTGGTAGCCCTGCTCGGTGGTTTCGTTGGCGATGGGAATTGAGCCTCGGCTTGAGGATGCTAGCGGGGCGTTGTCATCGTCCTGGTTGGTGTTGTGGCGCGTTTGCTGGATGGTAGATGCCAATGGTGTGTCGTTGTATGTTTAGAGGTGGAGCGCCTGTTTGCTCGTTGATGCCAGTGGTGCGTTGTCGTCGGCCCGGTCGCCGGGGAAGATGGGTAGGACCGCATCCTCCCCCAGTGCTGGCGACGGCGGGCGGACCTCGGGGGTGTTTCCCAAGTCCATCTCCCAGTCCTCGTCCGGGGCCATTATACACAGCCTCTCCGGTGACGGGGGAAAGGTGACAATCGGGTCAGGAGTTGGCCGGAAGGGTGCCTCGATGAGGATGGAGGTGTAGCGGGCGTGGATTAACTGAATCCACGATCCCCGCCAGAACCCGTACCGCTCCTCTCCTTCCCATTGATAGTGGGCTGCCGAGGGGGCACCATCGTCTGGCTCGCTGTCGCTTCTAATTGTTTGCGCGTCGTCGTTGCTCTGCTCGCTGGCTTCCTCCCCGTGGTATCCGGAGTACAGAGGGGTGGCGTCGCTGTCGGTGGCATCCTCCAGCACGTAGTCCTCGTCGCGTGTCGGGGCAGCTGGACTGGGGGATCGGGAGTCTCCCTCCTCGTCGTCATCCTCGTCTGACTCCGGGTCCTGCTGGCGAGGGCTACATGGGCTGTAACGCCCTTCAGGTGGTGGAGCAGCAGCGGTCGAGTCGGGGTGTCCTGGAGCGGGGCGCGGGTTGTGGAACCAACGCGAGTGACCCGGCGCGTCCGGATTTGGCGGGCCCGGGTTGTAGAACCACCGGGAGTGGTCTGGCGCATCCGGGTAGTGATACCCTTGGTAGGGACGCGACGGCGGAGCTTGAGAGCAGGGGATCCTGCGTCCAGTCCTGTCCGTGTAGTACGGGGAGGCCGAGCGGCCCGAGGGTCGTGGAGGCGTTGGTGGCGCGGCGCGCCGTGGTGGCGAGGCTGACGGAGACTCGTCCGACGACTCGGACATTGGGTGCGGCGTGGCTCGGCGCGGTGGCGCTCGGGCCGTAGTTGGCTGCATCGGGGGCGACGGGGCTCGGGTGCGGCCCGAGGGTCGTGGAGGCGTTGGTGGCGCGGCGCGCCGAGTTGGCGAGGCTGACGGAGACTCGTCCGACGACTCGGACATTGGGTGCGGCGTGGCTCGGCGCGGTGGCGCTCGGGCCGTAGTTGGCTGCATCGGGGGCGACGGGGCTCGGGTGCGGCCCGAGGGTCGTGGAGTCGTTGGTGGCGCGGCGCGCCGAGTTGGCGAGGCTGACGGAGACTCGTCCGACGACTCGGACATTGGGTGCGGCGTGGCTCGGCGCGGTGGCGCTCTGGGCATGGTTGGCTGCATCGGGGGCGACGGGGCTCGGGTGCGGCCTCGAGCCTGTCGGATCCCGGTTGGGCAGGCTCTTGTGGGTCTGCCGGCGTAGTATGCGCCAGGGCGTAGCCGAGGGTCGCGGCCGGTCGTTGGCCTGTCGTACGCTCCATTGGGAGCAGTGTTCTCCTCGTCGCTGGAGCCTACTAGGATGGACTCCATCCTGGGTGATTCGTGGCACGCGCGTAGATACGTCTATGGGAGAAAGAGAACTATCCAAACTTAAACTAACCAGTACTTAAATGTTAATGTCCTACCGGGCAGTAGTAGGCAAAAGGTCTAATGTTAATCTAATTGCTAACAATGGTCTTAGGGTTAGAGGGAACCTAGTGGGCTACTTAAATTCACCCCTCGCTGATATCGTGGTCAGGTGGCCGTGGCTTGTCGGACCCGGGTTGAACGCCGGTGTTGTCCTCCGACATGGCGTCGTCGTCAGTGTCTGCATCACCTGCGGGAAGAGAAGAATGGAATTCTTTTAAGTCGGCGATATTGGCAAGGCGGCCCTTTCGTTTCCCGGGCAAGCGGATTCGGGCTATGTTTGGGGACGGAAGGGCGACCACTTTATATGGCCCGTCGAACTTGGGCGCGAGTTTGGCAGCGAACCCGTCCACCGCTTTGGATAGGTGGTGTTGGCGCACGAGGACCAGGGAGCCGATGGTGGGCCTCCATGCCCGACGCCTGAGGTCGTACTGCCGTCCTTGGTCGCGGCTTGCCTTCTGGATGTTTGTTTGGACGATCTGGAAAATTTCCTTCAGTCGTCCAGCTCGGTCGGCAGGGGTCTCCGGAGCGACGCCTGCTCCCGGTGTCACTTGATCGTACCATGAGCCTGGTAACCGCGGCTCTCGTGCCTGTAGTAGGAAAGCCGGGCTGTACCCTGTGGTCTCCGAAACGCTGGTATTGATGGCGAGGCTCAGGTCAGGTATTAGCTGATCCCACGTACTCTGATCGCTGCCGACGTACTGAGAGATCATGGTCTTGACTGTGCGGTTCGCTCGCTCCGTGGGGTTCTCGCGTGGACAATAGGGGGGCCGTGTATTGAAGTTCTACGCCCATCTCCCTAAGGAATCCTCTGAAGGCCTTGCTGGTGAATTGGGTGCCATTGTCGCACACCAGTTTCTTTGGAGCTCCAAACCTCCCAATGATCCTTTCGCGGAACGCCTGTATCAACGTGGTGGTGGTGGCTTTTCGCAATGGGACTAATTCCATTCGAAGAAGACCAGCAGCATTGTGTTTCCTGCCTTGGAGCGCGGTAGTGGTCCCACGAAGTCTGCACATACGATGCCGAAGGGTTCATCGACCTGTCTCGTCAGCATCCTTCCTGCTTGTGCCTTTTGCTCTGCTTTATATTTCTGGCAGAGGACGCATTGACGGACGTATTGTTTCACGTCGCGGAACATTCCGGGCCAGTAATATTTTTGTGAGATCCGCAGAATCGTCTTCCGGGTGCCAAAGTGGCCAGCCGTGGGCGCGTCGTGGCATTCTTGGAGAATCCGTGCTCAATGCTCAGCCGCAACGCAGAGCTTCCAGGGGATATAATCCTGGTCGTCTGGGCGGTGTCCGAGGTGTCGGTACAGCTCTCCGTTCTGAATGACATAGTCGGGAAATCTCTGGGGGTCATCCTGAACATCCGCCAGTTTTCGTTTTAGCCATTTGCACAATCGTTCGTCTGGCATTAGTCGCTGGAGGTGCTCCAGTGGTTGCCGGGATAGGGCATCGGCGACCACGTTATATTTCCCGCGGCGATAGTGGACATCGTATTGGTACTGTTGAAGTTCTAAGGCCCACCTGGCGATCCTTCCAGTCGGGTTCTCAATTTGATCTAACCATTTCAGGGCCAAGTGGTCTGTGATCACGTCGAAGCGATAGCCCTCGAGATAGTATCGGAGCTTGCGGATTCCCCAGACGATGGCTAGGCATTCCTTTTCCGTAGGGGAGTAGTTGAGTTCGGCAGTGTCTAGCTTCCGACTCACGTATACGATGACCCGTTCTTGCCCCTCTATTTCCTGCGTCAGCACACCTCCGAGCCCATAGTTACTCGCGTCGGTCTGGAGCGTCATCTTGACGGAAAAGTCTGGACATGCCAGTACCGGAGCATCCGTTAGCAGACTTTTGAGGAGCTCGAAGGCTTTCTGTTGTTCTTGCTCCCACTTCCACCGCTGGTTTTTGCGCAGCAAGTTCGTCATGGGCTGAACAACAGACGCGAAGTTCGGTACGAACCTCCTGTACCATGAGGCCATGCCTAGGCATCTGCGTAACTCTCGAAGACTCGTGGGTGGACTGAGGTTCCGCACGGCGGCTACCTTTTCAGGGTCCGTGTGAATGCCCTGGTCGCTAATGACGTGGCCGAGATAAACCAACTTCCGTTTGAAGAAGGAACATTTGTCTTGGTTTTGTAGTATGCACACATAACGAATACGCACTGTACCCAGAGTACTTAAAGAGTGCGCACTGTAATACTTTATTGCAGTGTTTACATATTTCAATGTCCCGGTCATAAACCTTAATTGGCCGAAATATGAACCGATCGCTATGGCTTAGCCCGCACACCGAAAGTGCTAGCATCGGCATATTTGTATCGAACGGACTGCACACGCATACCCCTCGCGCCTCCACCTGAGAGTGCATAGCCAAGGTACATAAGTACTTTCCTTTACATATAAGAATATATATATATGCAGCCGTCTCTCTGCCGCCGCCTGCGAGCAGCGCAGCTACGAGACTTAGTTTAAATTATAACTTAAGGAATATTGTAATAATCAGAAACCTTTTGAGAGTCGGCGCGGCACCTTAGCTGCTCCAACCCATCTAAAGAATAAATAAAATATCTACTACAAATTAAATAAAAATCTTATACATTTTGGGCACTGTCGGGACCATCATATTTCATGGCGACCGTCTGAGAAGAAACCTGCATATAAAAAACATAAAACTCCAAAACTTAAACTCCAAACTTCAGATAAAAATAACAAAAAAAGTGAAAAAATATAAATGTCACGGCCAAAAATAGGAGTACGGCATTGCAGTGTGTCCCTGATAATGCAATATGAAGCCATCGAAATAGCAAGCGACATAATCGAGGAGCTCAGTGCAGACGACACTAACAAGGACATCGCAAGGGAGCTAAAGAATCATTTTAACGAAAATTATGGTCCGTATTGGCAGTGCATCGTGGGAGGCGCATTCGAATCGTCGGTAAAGGCCCAGCCAGATACGCTCATCCATTTTTTCATAGGAGAGCGGGACATATTGCTGTTCAAAGCAATAGAAAATAGCGTGGCGGACACGCAAAATCAACACCAATAAAAATAAAACAAGTGAATAAAAAGTGATGGGAAGAGCTGGTGCGAAAAATCGCATGAAGAAGAGAATAGCCCATTTAAAGTGGCTTCTGTACGCTAAAGAACCACCGCCAACGTGGGCCACGGCCCAGAAACTCCAAGCAGAACTGGATTTCCTGAAAATAGAAGTGACTAAACCAACACAAAAAAGCGCAATCACAACTGACCCAGCCATCAAGCAGATAAAATCAATATATAACGAAAAAACAAAACCACCACATTCAGAGCCAATTCCCGAAAAACCGCAAACCTGCCCGGCCGACTGCCCCGGACCCCTCTTCTCTGCGGCATGCAAATATACATGCGCGAAGCTGAATAAGTAACCTGTGCGAAGACCAGCACCGGTACCGCCTGAGCCCATAGGCCCAGGACATCAGCAGCTGAAACACCAACCTGTGCGAAGACCAGCACCGGTGCCGCCTGAGCCCATAGGCCCAGGACATCAGCAGCTGATAACACACGTGTGAGTGGCAGGCCGCCTCTTACACCTACGAGGGAGCGTCAGCGAAGCCAGGCCGGCGACGACCAGCTGACGCGACGACACGGGATCCCGGAGCAGCAGTAATAGAATATCATTTGCACTGCGTTGCATAATTTTTTGCGAGTGCACTACGATGCACCTTTTTTTTACCACCTATTGTAAAATTGAGCGGAATCTTTTCTGCCCGATTAGAAGTGTAGCCTGTAAAGCTATGCGAAAAATTAGGCAGGAAAATTGTTAATTTAGATGCGCAGTAATGCGATAAGTAAATTTTCAATAGAAAACCATAACAATTTTAATGAAATCAGTAAACTTTCAATAGAAGATCTGAATAATTTCAATAAAACACTTCATACACATGCAACAGAATTTTACACAAAACCCAGAAAAATGACTTTGGATATAAAAACAGTGGACTCCACTGCCAATGTCATCAACAAAGTAGAGTCTAGTAACATAGATTTATACTGGGTCCATATTCTTTTAATAATCATTGTTGTTGTCATGTGCGCTAATTTCTTTTATAAAATTTACAAACTGCACAGCAGGTGCCTAAAAAAGAAATACATAAGCCGGGGAAATGACCTGGATAAGATTTAGGCAGTACAATAACAACAATGATTAAAAACTAACATATTCAATAATTAAAATCCACATTTTCAATAAAACAACACAAACACTACACCTTCTTTTTTCAATGGCTAAATGGATTGGAACACAATCTTTAAAGAATTAGGAGACATAAAATCGAATTTTGACAGGTCTTATAAATCCTTAGCTCAAAACAGACCAATCCAGAAGAACACCGTCAGGAAACACGTCGAAATATTGGTAGAGTGCTTTAACGAAGCACGCATACTAATATATGAGCATAAAGATAGGTTGACCCAAGATCATTGGACACAAGTATCTAAACTTCTGATACGTCTACGATCTAATTTAATATCCATCAAACAAAAATTCGGTTTGGAAATATCGGTACCAACCGTATTGACAATACCAATAGCAGTCTCAACTGCACCTGACCCTGAATCGACAGAAACAAACGAGGAAGAGTCAGAGGAGCCGCCTGAAGTAAGCCCGAAAATTGAAGAAGAAGATTTAAACAATCTAACTATTCCGGCAACTTATACTGATCTGGAATCAGAAGATTCAGACATTTCAGGCAACTCAGAGGAAAACAAACTAAATAACACAATAACCATGGCCGATGAATCAATTGCCCAAAGGGCATATATCAAAGAAATCTCTAGTGCCATCCCAGAATTCAATGGCCAGAAGTTACATCTACAAAGATTCGTAACAGCCTTGAAGTTAGTCAATCTAACAAAGGGGACATTTGA